TGCTAATCTATAATTTTCATGTAGTCAAATAGTTAAATATTACAGGGTATTTAATAGAAGAAGTAATAAAAATTTTTGAACAAAGCCTATAAGTAGTTTAACAAGACCGTCCTTAGAGATTTTGCAGTAGTTTTATAAACAAAGGACGAAGTAGTAATTACGGTGAAACGTTGACTTCAAAGCAATTGTTCCTAAAATATAAGTCCAAAAATTAAAAAATATTTTACATTTTTCTCGTAGAATATATTTTCAAACCTTAAAAATAATTTTTCATAATTTAAAATTAATTATTTACTTGTTTATTTTGTTTCACAAAATAAGATGAAAATAATATAAAGTTTATATTGTTATTCTAAAAAAGTATCAAGGCGTGCATTAATATTTAAATTAAATTGAAAAAAGTTTTGAAATTAAAATTGGGGACATTACAGTAAATTACCTCTAAGACCACTTTATTTTAAGCTATATATTTAAAATGCTTAAAAAAAAAAAAAAAAAAACTACTCGCTATCTTATCTTCTTGTTTCCAACTTTATGAAATCAATCTTGAAAACTGATCAATTAAGAAAATTTTACCATATCATCGGAAGCAATTCTCTAGAGTGACAATCTAAAGGAGAAACTACAGTCAACATATCTTCTGATTAATAAAACTAGCCGTGCTATGCGCAATTTTAATAAATATTAATTTTTAACAATTCTAATATAATTATTATAATGTAATAATAGTATTTTTTGCACTTGTAGTATTATTGATATTATTAAAGCAAAATTACAAAGACAATTTAAATCAATAAAATGAAGCATTTAATTTCGTTTTGAATTCCACTCTCTAGAAGGTAACATTTAAATTTTGAATATTAATTTTTCTTAAACATCATTAATATTTTTTGACTTAATTTTAATTTCTATTAAAATTCAATTATATAAGGCAACTAATATTTGCTTTCATTTAAAGAAAGTAACATTCAAATTTTGACGTTTGATTTTCTTTCTGAATCGTTAATGTATATTAATTCAATTTTAACTCCTTCCAAAAAAAATTTTAATTTTAATTATCTAAAATACTAAAATGATACCTATAATTTAATTGTTGCCAAATATCCGTTCTCCACTCCATTATTACTCTAAATTGAAACTGTATAATTTATAAAGTCATTTTCTTTTGATATTAGAAAAGGCAATAAAAGGCTCATGCTGAAAAATTTTTGTAATAAAAAGGAGAATATCAAAATCTTATATTTTAATTATTATCAATATAATATATTTTTTTTTGCACTTGTAGTATTATTAATATTATTAAGTCAGAATTATAAAAGACAATTAACATTTATTAGAAGATTTTCAATCACTAAAATTTTATGATTCGTAAAGAAAATCAAATTTCAAAATTTGAATGTTTTCTTTTTTAAATGAAAGCAAACGTTAGTTACCTTATATAATTGAGTTTCAATAGAAATTAAAATTGAGTTAATAAACCCCCTCGGAAGGGGGCCTTCTTCGCCTTCCACCTAAGCTGCGCAGGAAAGGCTTGTACGTGTGGGACGAACAAAATCCTCATTAAATTTGATTTTTTCATTAGACCAAATTTGATTGCAATTCAATTTAGAGAACGAACGTCAATTAGTGGATTACAAAGTATTCATCGTTTAAGAATTTTCCAGACGTACCAAAAGATGATTCACAAGAAACCTTTTCCTTTTAGTTTTGTGAGGAAGGGTCACACCGATACGAGGCTTGTCCCATTCTATTTCCTAAGATCCGTCGATTTATCCGTCGTGATTTAGAGTCTCGTACTAGCCTCGCCTATTGCCTTATATAATTTGTTAACTCAGTTTTAATTTCTATTAAAGCTCAACCGTATAAGGCAACTAACGTGTGCTTCCATTTAAAAAAAGGTGACATTCAAATTTTGAAATTTGATTTTCTCTACGAATCATAAAATATTAACTCCTTTAAAAAAACACAATTTTAATTTTAATTATCTAAAATAATAATGTGATGCCTATAATATTTATTTAAAAAAAAATACAGTTTTAATTTAGAAAGTTATTTTCTTTACGAAATTTTAATAAATATCTATTCAATTTGAAACCGTATAACTTAAATGAATTTCTTTACCTGTGAAGCCAAATAATTGAATTTCTAACTATTCATGATTTGAATTAATTTTTTAATTGAAACGAAATTTGCCATGGCCCATAGATAATTCAATTCATCATGTTTTATATCAGATGAAAAAAGATATCGAATAATCCAATAAATATCAATTTAATTACAAATAAAACACAGTAAAAAAAAAAAAAAAAAAAAAAAACATATTTGTATACAGTTTTCAATTAATAAAATTTTAGCTTGATTTTTCTAAAAAAAAAAATACAATGAACCATGCATTAGTTTTCTCCACTTTATGTTAATTATATTTAAAAATTTTATATATATATAAGAGTGCAAAAAATACAGTAGCAGAGATGCAAAACTAATGTGTAGCATAAAGGGCTAGTTTATTAGGTTATGTTTTTAGTTTTATTTCATGTGAACAATATATTTTTACTTTTCATTTATTTTTATGTTCCTGATGTGTTTTGGCTTGATTTCTATTATATAGGTGGTAAATGAGTCAAATGAGCAGGAATTGGTTAAAAACTTGAATTTTATTGATTTCAGTGCTAATCTCTCTCTGCTATTTTGCACATGTTTTGTGCTATAAAAGAAATTTTAGAGTGATTTAAACTGGGTTAGAAAATTGACATCCAAAGCTTTCCAACTCTACACCATATGTCTAATTAAGTGAGAGTTGAAATATGTAGAGTGATTTGAAGTTTACTGCTTTGATGCTGAAAAAGATACTGACTCTAGCGACTATTGAAAAATGAAAAGTAACAGGTAGATAAATGGTCGTACATTTAGCCGTATGATTGACCATCAGACTCAGAAACTTGATACAACTTCAACGGGATAATAAACAGGCATCCAGGTGCGCATTGCAGGCCATTTTCACCCACTCAAGGGCCCAAAACTAAGAGAAAAAAAGAAATCCTTATTTTTTAGGATTCCAAGGGAGGATTTATTCAAGGCATGGGGATTGAGGAGTTCTGATTGTAAAATCAAGAAAGATGGCACTTCAAGAAGGAGACGTGAGCAATTTTTGAGTTTAGTCTTTACTTTTCTCTCCTATTTAAGTTACATCTTGTAATGGGTTTCTTTTAACTCTCTTGGTTTTGTATTAAGTCCATATGTTTATTAGATTTTAACCTTTTATAATGTTGGGTTAGTTAGTATATATTAGTTCTATTTTGTTTGAAAATGATATTCTGTTATAATGAATGTTTATACTTTCATATCTAGACTGAGTTTATGGCTTCACTAATGAAAAACCAATGAAACGAACTATGACACAACTTATGGTCATGTTAACATGTAGGTCCTTTTATCAAAAATAGCCTCTTTTACCTGCAATTGACTAAGAAATTGGTCTTTAAATTATGGTCAAACTAGTAATGGGGTCCCTAATTTACAATTCTTGTTAATATTTTGGTCTTTTCCTTATAATTTCCGTTAATACTTTGGTCCCTATATTTTAGATGAGACAACCAACGTGTTAGTAAAATCAAAATTTATGAATCTCATAGTTAGCTTTTAAAAATATAAATTCTCACATGCCAGCCCTCTCTCTCTCTCAATCAAATCATATTCAGTGATTTTCTACTCCGAAATCATATGGATCGGTAAATCATTAAAAAAACTCAAATTTTGCGAGTAGTTTTAATTATAGTCTAAATTCAACTTTCTTCTTTTAATATCTTGAATTTCAATTTTAATTATAATATCACTCTACTCTAATTTCAAATTATAAGCAATATTAAAATAAAAATAATAATATATTCATTTTAAAAATAAAATATTTTCTATTTATTTATATAATATTGACAACAAGTAATTATTCTCTAAAAATAAAATTATGTAATAATGAATAAAATCTATTTTTATAAGAAATCTAAATTAACTATAATTTCAATAAATTCTAACTAAAATTTCAAGCTTAAAAAATGGTAAAATAAAAATCTAAATTAATATTCTATGCTTACAATTAATTAAAATTTATTATTTTACTTCGCTTTTTATAAATTTAAAAAAAAAATTAATAAATATTAGTTAGGGCATTATTAAATGGTGAGTTTTTAGTTAATCTAATTATGAAGGTCAAACAAAAATGATATTTTATTTATTAAATTCAATATGATTTGAAATTAGGGTGTTGTTATAATTAAAATTGATATTCAAGTACTAGCAGAAGAAAATTAGATATATGATATAATTAGAACCAGGGGCAAAGTTTGAAGTTCATTTTTATGATTTAGCTCATAATAACTGAAATCGTATGTCTGCAAATCTTAGCTGAAGCCGTATATGCACATTTGGTTCCGATCCCTCAATTTTTTTAACCAAAACACGGTTACCGAAACTGCAGTGGTCGGGTTTAAATCCATCAAAAAAAATATAATAATGTGAAATAAAACCTATAAAAGAAACGCCTCATTTATTTTTTATTTTGTTATAATTATTTTAACTAATTTTTATGACTTTTTATTGAAATTATTTACTTTTTTTTTTTCAATACTACTACCTATTGTTATTTTCTTTTACTATTTTTTTTATTCATTCATGTTACAAACTAAAAAAAATGTTTTAAAATTTAAAAAAAAAATGTCTAATTTTGTTCTAAACTAGAACCAAACTAGAATTGGAGGTTCGATCTTGGTTCTATTCCTTTCTAAACTAGAATTGGAGGTTTCAAATCCTGAATTGTTGATCATGCCTATGCAAGAGAGAGGCTTATTCTCATGTTATAGCTTTCATGTTTGGTAAGAGCTTCCAAGTTCTAAAAAAGCAACTTCTAGCATGTGATTTTCTTCTTATTAAGAAAGCAAGCTATTTCTATCTCTAAACAGAAAATAGCGAATTAGCACTAATTACATAGAGAAGAAGAGATATAGATGTGCAATAATCAGTAGTTTAACAACTACAACATTTTATTTTCATAAAATCCAACAAAAGCCAGAAGTATAAAATAAAATAAAATAAAAATAACAATAATACAAAATGTTGGGAGTACAAATACATGATGGCAACTGTAGTATTTTTGTTTGTTAAAGAAATATTTTTGTTTAAAAAAATGGAAGTGGGGGAGTGGCTTGGCCACTACTGACAAAGAGATTAAGGTACTCATCCACAGAAGTGTAATTGACCTCAGGGTAAAGTTCTGAAGCTTCTACTCCAACAGATGGTTCAATCTCAAAGTTGGTTTGATCTCCGCTTACAAACAGAGAGTGACCCAATGAATATATTACATTCAATGGAAATCCAGCTTCTGCAAAAAGCAACCAAAGAAACTTGTAATTATATATTATCTTGCTATAATAGAACAAGAAGAAAAAGCATGGACGAACCTTGAATTTTCTTGAGAAGTTGCTCTTCAGGAATGTAGATCCTTTCAAAGGTTCTGTTAGTCTTCTTCTCCCACAAGGACACAAGATCATTGAAACAGTAGATGTTTTTCGAAGGTCTAATATAAAGGATCTTGTTCAAGGTTCTCGGATCATCCACAGCTTTGATTGTATAAATGCCAATGTCATTTTCATTGTTGAAAATTGCTGCAAGGATCAGACGGACAAATAAGTTTATGTATATGTAATTAATCAAAATGAGAAGTAATAATTAAAAAAAAAAAAAAAGAAAAGAATTACCTTTGACATTTCCATCGCCCAAAATTACAACTGCATCTCCAGGAGGAGCAGTGGCTTCAAATTGTTTCAGGTTGGGAAGTATATAGCCAGAGAAAATGTTGGAAGATACGTATGTATAAGGAATTCCTGCAGCTTCAATAGCTCTTCTAATCTTAACCTTGTCATCAAATCCAGATTTTGCTGGGTCAACTGCATTTGTTCTATCCACATCATTTCCGAACTCTGAAGGAAGGAATCTCTGCTCGAAAAAAAAATATATATATATATATGTCTATATTATGTACTAAATTCATCTCCAGAACGATGAAATTACAAGAGAAACAGAAACTATACCTTAATGTTCCCAGCTTCTTTAATGGCGTCTATGATCTTGACTTGATCAGGTACCTGAGGTTGACCTACTGTAGAGATCACAACATCTACTTGCTTTATTGCCTTTACTAAGCTCTCATGATCATATATATCTCCCTGCGCAATTAAATAATAAGAAATTGAGGGAAAGAAGCTAATAGCCTAGCTATCCATTGCTTATATTACAGAAGAAAAATGAAAAGAAGGAAATGAACATACAATCGAGAAGTTGACGCCCAAGCTCTTGAAATTGTCAATGATGCTAGCTTTATCAGCGCTAGAAAGAGTCGTCTCTCTTACAAGAGCAAAAGTTGGATGACCAGACTTTGCGCTGGCTTCCACTATAGGTTTTCCGATGTAACCAGTTCCTCCGATGATCAGAATCTTGCTCTTTGGAGCCATTTCTCAAACTTTCTGGGGAGACCTTGTAACAGAGAGAAACAGAGAGAGATTGTTCAATTGATAAGTGAGTTAATAGAGAAGCCGAAATGAGTATTTGTAGGACACTAAGACTTGAGTAGACAGTTTTTGACTATGACAAGAAAAATGAAAAGGAGTAGTATAAAACAAAACAATTCAATAAAATATTGGGTGTCAACAGTTGGCCCCTTATTTATCACGGATAAAACTTATCTAGAAAAACCAAAATAGAGGGTTTTAAAAAATTATTTCCACGTTGCTTTTTTTAATAAATGTTTAGAAATATTTTTAATAAAATATTATTTTTTATTGAATTGATTTATTAAAATATAATTATATTTTTAGTGTATTAAATTTTCGTATTTTTTCTAACTTGATGTCTGACAAAGAGTGCTTGAATTTTTTTAAATTTTCAATCAAGTGTTTCTACTAATTTAGCTAAATAGAAATGTGACTGTTCAATTGTGGGACACGATTTTATAACACGTAGCAGCTCTAAAATTGCCAACTCAACTGCATGGTGGATTCCATGTGGATATGGATATGAATTTACTTTTTTCTCCTTAAAACACCCAAATCTCTCGTTCTCTCTTCTTTCACACCTTTCTGTTGCTTCAATCTTGCGTCGCTCTTCACTCCGCTGCTGAAACTTGTCGACAAACCATTATGACCCTCTAACACCATCGATCACTCAAGTGCTGTGATCTTATCTATTTCTAAATCACTAAAATCCATTGCTAAACCAGTTTAGAAACGGATCAAAATGGAAAGCGTCCGTGACAACTTGGGGTCATTTCAAAGACAACTTAGAAATGGGTATTTTTTTTACGTTTCTACAGTGGCAACGGATATATCTGTTGCTCGTACCCAGTAAATCCGATTCTACATTTTGACCTCTTTGGGAACGAATTTCATTTTCAATCCATTTCCATTTTGTCTATAAATTCAATTCTAATTCCGTTGCTAAACCGTTGCTGAATCCGTCTCGATATACGTTTCTAAACCTTTATATCCGTTGCTAATTTCTATTTCTACCAGCCATAAAATGATCTGAATTTTTTCGTTGCTGAATCTGTTTCCAAATCGTTGCTAAGTGTTCATCCGTTGCTAGTGCCGTTTCTAAATTGGATAGGGACATGAAAATCCGTTTCTAACATATTCCATTTGGTGAATATCCTATTTCTATTATGTTTCTAATTTGATAATTTATATATTTTTATAAAATTAATTTGAAGTCAAAAAAAGAAGTTAATGTAAAACTAACGTAATTTTAAATATATTTAAAATATCAAAACAACAAAAATAATCTCAAAAATAGAGAAATAACTATAACTTTTATATGTATTAATTGAACTTACATCTGTTAAATACAAATCAACTAAGTCTACCTAGATACTATCATCATCTTAACTAAAGAAAAAAGATGGTTGTAATTTGCACACTCGCTGCTCCTTAACACCTCAAATTGATCTTTCCTTCTATGGAGCCGGATGTGAGCTTCTCGCCTACGGATCTTACTCAAAAGAGTCTCAGGGAGCAGACACATCAATAGCAGCAGACGCAGAGGCAAGATCTCTATATGTTGATAGATACCCGAGAGACTAAGTCCTTTCCTTAAGGCATGCCCCTACTCAACTTCCTATTCCTATTGGCAAATGCCAAAGCAACAAGAGGGCCTAACTCCAAGTTCTTTTTCTTTCTGAACCTCAGCTCAGAAAAGAGCTAACAGCTGCGGGAGAGGCAACTTCTCTTTCACTTCATTCACGGGAGACCTACCAAATCTGCGCATTTCTATAAGTCATGGTCACATGTCTTGTGAACATTCAACCATCAAGAGGGAAGGTCAAAGAGAGCTGCGTCTTCGACGGTGCTGCTAAGAAAGTGCAGCTTGTAGCTCTGAGAGACTTTATGAATTGAAAGTAAGCCTCAAGCGAAGTTTCCATCAAAGGAAGTGAAGGATGAGGGAAGGGAGGGAGAATTCCTGCATTTTTTGTAAATATCCTTAACACCTTTAACTTCTTATAGATATATCTGAGCAGTATCAAATGAGCGTGATTGAGTAGTGTTAGCCGCCTTTGTTGAAAACAAAAAAAATATATATATAAAAAATTGGTTGTGCTCAATCCCACATCGGGGAGATTGAGTTTTGAGGGTTTTGAGGGTGTTTGAATTGCGCTATAAAAGGAAGCCAATATTAGGTTTCTAAACACACCAAAACACACCAAAAATATTTTGAATGTGTTTATATTAAGGATTTAGGAGCAAGTCTTTGAGTCCCTTGGCAGTTATAAAATATTTAGGGGTTAGGGTCAGGTAGAAAATATTCTTTGTAATTGTGGTTGTACAATTTGCCGCATAGTTTTGAATAGTTTTCTTGATTGTCATTTGGCAACGTCCGTTGGTTTTCTCCACTTGGAGAGTTTTCCACGTTAAACTACTCGCCTTGTTCTCTTTAATTTTCTAAGTCTATTATTTTATTTTCTCATTTGTGCCTGCTTGAAGCCGATCCGAAGGGCAGGGAAAAATAGCGATTTTCCCAATAAGGTGGTATCAAAGCTAGTTGTTTAGGCGAAACTTAGATGTTAAAATTAATTTTCTGGTAATTAATTATAAGTATGGCACTGCTGGTTCCAGCTTAGTCTGATCTTCCACATCAGAAATACTGTTGTGTTAGAATTATTTTATTTTAAAGCAGGTGAGTTTTGGAAGTCTTGAAGTTGGTGGAGCTTTGCTTTGGTGTGCTTGAGTACTGCGTGTGGAAATGTTAACCTGACGATAATTATTGAAGGTTATTTTGATACGAAAGTTCTTGATAATTATACCATGCACGTTAACTTCTGTCATGAAAGGCTGAACTTTTAAGTGGACCACTTGTGACCCCTCCGTCTAACTGAATTTACGTGGGAATGGTAAGTATTCTTGTCTTAGGGAGATCATTTGTGATCTTTTCCTGGGTATGTGCCGAATCGGTTTACTTCACAATTATTGGGTTCACTATTATAAGCACAAGTGAGCATGTCGGCTATGAGGATTGTGAGATTGAGAAAATTTGACGGGAGAATGAATTTTGCACCTGTGGCAAGGTGCAAGTCAAAGACGTTGTTGATTCAGTTGGACTGCCTAAGGTTTTGAAGGGTAAACCAGTCAGCGGAAAGAGAATTTCAGGAAAAGACATAGCAGTGGAGGACTCAGAAAAAATTCAGATAAGGTAGCGATGAAGAAATGGGAGGAGCTGGATATCAAAGCGCAAGTCAATTCGCATGTGTCTAAAATTCGCATGTGTCTAGCAAAAAATGTTCTTTCTCATGTCCTTGGATTGTCCACGACAAAAGAGTTGTGGGAGAAACTGGAAGAATTGTACCAGGGAAAAAATATATCCAATAAGTTATATTTGAAAGAGCAATTTCATACATTGAAAATGGCGGAAGGTATAAAACTGTCAGATCACCTGAGTGTTCTTAATGGCATCGTCTCTGAATTAGAAACTCTTGGAGTGCAAACCGAAAATGAAGATAAAGCTCTCCGACTCATCCTGTCACTTTCTTCAACATATGAGCATATGAAACCTGTTCTGAAATATGGTAGTAAGGAATTGGTGTATGCGGATGTGGTTAGTAAGCTCCTTACTGAGGAGAGAAGACTGAATGAAATGAAAAATAAATCATATGAGGATTCAGCTTTATTTGTCGCGGTACCAAGAAAAAGAATAAAAGCTCTGGAAAGAGGAAGGTTGTCTGCTGGGTTTGTGGTCAAACTGGACACGTGAAGAAGGATTGCCCGAACGGTGGAGCTGATTCGACTAGAAGCTCTAACGTTGCTGCTGCCAATGTGATCTCCTGTGGCGAAGGAGATGATGTGTTCTCTCTGTAATTGAGAGATGTGTGTCCTCATGGCATGAGCATTGATTGCTTTACCCGTTTGAGATGCCATGAAGAGGAGGATTATGTTAGCTGACGTCCAAGGAAATGCGCACGGGCGATTGGTTGACAGTGATGCAAACTTGGTGTGGTGAAACAAAATATGTCTATGGCTAATGGAACTCTCGGGAAAAGTCAACAAGGAGGGTTGCCACCATAAAACTATTAGCGGGGATCCGACATGGCCGATGGAAAATTCTTGGAGTCGGTAAAGTGTTCCAAGTGGCCCGATACTCTTTTATGTGGAGTATGATAATTCTTGATGATAAGAATTTATGAATTGTCAGTAGCCAGACCAATTTGTTTTTTTATTTATTTTTCAAAGGTGAGAGATTGTTAGCTCCTTTCGTTGAAAATTAAAAAAAATATATATGTATATAAATTGGTTGTGGCTCAATCCCAGCATCCGGGGGAATTGAGTTTTGAGGGTGTTTTGAATTCGTATAAAGGGAAGCAATATTTACGGTTTCTAAAACAACACCAAAAATACTTGAATGTGTTTATATTAGCGCGATTTAGGAGCAAGTTTCTTGAAGTCCTTGGAGGGTATAAAATATTTGGGGTGTTTTGAGGCGTGTCAGTAGAAAAATATTTTGTAATTGTAGTTGTAACAATTTGCCGCATAGTGAACTATTTTCTTGATTTGTTATTTGGCAAACGGCCGTAGTTTTTCCCACTTGGGAGTTTCACGTTAAACTATCGTGTTCTCTTTTGTTCTCTTTAATTTCTCAGTCATTATTTTATTTTCTCATTTGTTCCTGCTTGAAGCCAATCCGAAGGGCGGGAAAAATAGCGATTTTCCCAACAAGTAGACCCCGCTTCAAGTTGAGATTAAGTTTGAACACTAGACAGAATGACCCTGAAAAAATATTAGTGAGCATTAAACAAGTTGCATAGTTTTTGCAGAAAAGTTATTAAATATGCAAATATTATCAATTTAAAAGTAAAAATTTCTTCTAAATTAGCATTATTGTAAGAGTTCATATTTCAAAATCACAGCATGATTTGAGTTGTTGATTACAGGCTATAAGATGAAGGTTGATCTGAATGTGTGTACTTTGCTATGAAATTGCATGTTATCCCAGTAGACACTAGTGGGGAATGAGCTGATACGTTTAGTGACTATATCAAGAATTAATATAAATAATTTTGAAATTACCAAATATTGGACTCCATGATTGCTTGATGACATCCATGCATACATTACCAGACCTGCCAATTATAGAAGGAAATAAGCTAGAAAACTTTAAAAAAGAATAAAAATGCTACACCATAAAAATAAGAGACAGTTATCATCATTCAGCATTTCAACATTTTATGGTAAAGGTTGCCTCAAAAAAAAAAAAAAAAAAAAAAAAAAAAGACCAACAGGAAAAAAAAAAAAAAAAAAAAAGACCAACAGGAAAGAACTGCGTTTTTGCCACTCCTTATTAGAACATGGCCTTAGCAATTAGTCAAATCTAATTTACAGAATGCCCTTGTCCTAGTACAGAAGCAATATTAAAGAGAAGACAAACGAGGAGTATACTCATGCAAGTATAATAATTTTCAAAGAGTACAAAAAGGCCAGTACATCCAATGTTGTGTGATCAGTAAAACGGATTAACTACCATTCAACTCCAGACCACAAGGCTTTGCAAATATGATGACTTCATTATTTTTGTCTTTTTGCTTTATTATTATGATGACTCCAGTTAGAACTCAAACTTGCAAAACCTAGTCTAACATAAGGTTCTTTAGGCATTAAAAAAGAAAGCAAAAGTAAAAAAATAGACCACAAACCAGATACTTAGTTAACTTAGTATTTGTTTAAGCCTTTGAATATAATTAACTTAATCACATAATTAATTAATTAACTCAGGTATGTTAAAAGAAAAAAAAAAAACAATTCCTAACATGTGACAGTTACCTCATTACTATAACACATGATTTACCTAAAAGCTGACTAAGACAATTGATAAGATCGCTTGTGACCAACACATTATCAGTCTTAGGAACCGGTCCAAACCGGTTTTGTTTTGGTTCCATCAGTTTTGGAATCACGAACAGCCGGTTCCAGCTACAGTCGAAACCGATGGTTCTAGTTCCATTTGAAACCGGCCGGAACCGTCCGAAACCAGTCAGAACTGGTTCTAAACCGGCCAAAATCGTCAAAAAATCGACTGGAAAACCGGCCAGAACGGTCGATTTTAGAAACATTGACGAATCAGAACCGTCTGGTTTCATACGGTAATCGAAACCGTTAATTTTCGGTTCGATTCTGACTCTAAATTTTTTAAAAGCGGAACTGTTGGTTCCGGAACCGAAATCGACGGTTCGGAAAACGTGGCCACCATTAATGCACTTACAGTTGTTGATATGTCAAATGTGCCAAATCTCGATTAATGCGCCTCCTTCTCACTATTCCTCTGCTTTCTCCATAATATAACACTTTATGTGTAACAACGGAAAAAGTAAAAATATTTAATAGAACTTGTTTTTTAAAATGTAAATTTTTTTAGTAACAAAAAGAAAAATTAAAATAGAATTTCATCAAATAATTTCAGATAACATTATTTTTTGTTTGAAAAGTACATAAATTTTGTATGATAGACATACAAATGAATTTATATTGATATTCTATTTATTTTGAATGATAAATTACCTGAAATTATTTTTTAGTTTTTCTGATGTTTGGGATGCATAATAGCCAATGGAAATATTTTTTTAATAAAAGAGAAAAAAATTAGTCATTTTAAAAGAAAATATTTTTTAAAAAAGAAAGAGAAAACAATTTTCGGATATTGATAAATTTTATATTTATAATTTTATAAATACATATTTAATAATCTACTTATCACCCATAGTTAGGCATGGCCACCGGTTCGGTTCTAACCGGAACCGAATCGAAATCGAACCGTACTGTAGATGAACTGAAATCGGACCGAAACCGGCGGTTCAAAATTTTGAACCAGAACCGGCGTTCAAAATATTGAACCAGAACCGGCCGTTCAAGGGCAGTTAAGGTTCATGTGAATGTTTAACAAAATGAACCTGAACCGGCCGGAAACCGGCGGTTTCGGTCCGGTTCGAACCGGATTCACAAACACCGGATTCACAAACAAAATTATTTGTTGCTTAAAATTTTTAACAAAAAAATTTATATAATTGATTTGATTTATGGTGAAAAGAAAAACACAATGATACACAATTTCTAAAAAGTAGTGAAAAAAAACAATATCATTAAATCATTTGATTTAATTGGTAGAAAAAAAAAGGTTCAAACTAGCAGTTTGAACTATGTTCATTTGTAAAAAGAAAAAAATTATGTGTAAAAAAAATAGGTTCAAACGGTTAGTATGAGGTTGCATTTAATTTTTTTATTTTTGGTAAATAAATTTTATTCATTTTTAATCATTTATTTATGTACTGTAATTTACTAAATTATCCAAAAATATAGTTGTTATTTTTCTGTTATAAAGGACAATTTGGAAAACTAATAAATGAAAAACATTTATAAATATGATTAGTTGATGATTTTTTATCACAATTTCAATTATATCCTAAACTCTTCTTCTGATTCTTCAATCAAAAATCTCTCAAATTTTATAGTTCATGATTTGATTCTATTGTTTTATTTTCCTTAATATTGGGAAATTATCTATTGTTATTTTTTTATTTTCTTACATCCAAATTCCAATATCGTTCTCTAAATTCAAATTTTTCCATTCATTAATTTACTTCATTTGATTTTTTAAATAATTTTCTTAGTATTTTGAAAATATAATTGTCTAACTCATTTCCATTAATTTTATATTCCATTTATAGTTTTTATATAGTTTAAATTTAGCAAAAAAAATTGTAAAATTTTAATGTTAATAATGTTTCTAAGTTAGTTAATAGAAGTTTTCTTTTAAAATTTATAATAATTCATTTTTAGTTATAAAATTTTAAGAAATTTTAAAATTATTATTTATTCTTGAATTGGTAATCAAAATTTATGATTTTTTTAAAAAATTTGCGTAAATGCTGGAAACGAAATCGGAACTGTAATTTGAAACCGTCGGTTTCGCTTAGAATCGTGGCTGAACCGTGCCGGAACCAGACCGGAAACCGGAGGTTCAATAGGGTGGTTATTGGTTCAAAATTTTAAAATCTCGAACGCCGGCGGTTCAGTGAACCGGAACCGGCGGTTCACTGAACCGGCCATGCCTACCCATAGTCACCACCATTGGTCAATGGTCATTATCGACTATCAATACCAATTACCAGTGACTATACCAATTTATGATTTTTATGCATATTTTCTTATATTTAACAATAAATATGTAAAATAAGTAATTTTTAGTTTTAAATACTTTTATATTTATATATTAAAAAATTAATATTTTTAACTAATATTTGATATTATAAACGAACAATACAAAATGAATTGTTCGAAAAATATTTTCCTTTTAGAAAAAATTAATGTATGTAACCATTACAACTAACTAAAAATTAATGGTCAAATACAAAAATTTATCTTTTTACTTTTCATTAAAAGTTTTATAGTATCTTCAACTTTTACTTATCACACTAAACATTTTAATTTATAAAATTGCGCATATTAAACACTTCAACTTATAAAGTAATTTTATTGAACACTTCAACCTGTAAAATTAAATCGATTTAACACTTATTAAATAGTTAAAAAATCGAAAATTCTTATCTAAAATGGTTTTATTAATCAGATATCAAATTAATAATTTACATATAAAAGCCAAAATCCTAAAAACTATTTTTACTAGTGTAGAGTGGTGTATAATACTTCCTAAATTCATACTTAGGAATGGTAGAACAGGGAATTTATGAATCTAGGGTTACCCAATAATTAATTCTGATTTTGAAGAGTTGTTACTCTGTATTTCCAGAAATAAGAGCTGTGTATGAGTTGTTAATTAATGAGTTTTGAACTATTTTAAATGTGAGATCCAAAAAAATAAATTATAAACTGCGGGGGATCACATGAATAGTGAATAGAATAGAAAAAGTTACTCTTCTAATATTGACTAATAATAATAAAATCATTAATAATTGACACAAAAGATTCTATATGAGTTGGTTTATGGATTTTAAATTAATGTAACTGTGTGCACATTGTATGAATATATATATTTTAGATTGCTCAATAGGCTTTCCATTATGAACGTGTAAGATACTGCCAAATCTCCCACTTGCATGTGGCTTCAGTTCTTCCAAATAAAAGAAATTATACAAATAAAATATATTAGATTGCACCTTCCGCGTTTGGATTCCCAGGCTGTGGCTTGGCCACGACTAGCTAATTGTTCTTAGTTGTTCTGGGTATCCCCTCGTTTGTGATAAAAAAAACCCTCGTTTGTGATAAAAAAAAAAAAAAAAAAATAAAAAAAAAAAAAAAAAAAAAAAAAAAATATATATATATATAATATATATAATATAGTATATATATATAGTATATGAGGCTTAAATATATGAGCTTAACTTTATTTACCAAATCCGTCAAGAAATATTTTGGCCACGTGAATAAGAAATCTAATGGAAAATATTAGCCTTCAAATGTTGACCAATTTCTATTTTATTGTTACAAATGTTGACCAATTTCTATTTTATTGTTACCTAAATAATCAATTCCCACTACCAATCATCTGAAGGAAACATTCAACTATAAATAGCAAGCCATAGAGGGGTTACATTCATCCCCTGCAAAGCTCTTGTATAATTTTTATTAGCTAGTCTCAGTTTTTTCAATCATAATGGGTATTGTGACTTTTGAAGGGCAAATTGAGAGCCCACTACCACCAGCCAAACTTTTCAGGATGATTATCCTCGAAGCTGATACCAATGTCTCCAAGGTGGCGCCTAACGCTATTAAGAACTTTGAAACTCATGGCGATGGAGGACCTGGTACTGTCAGGAAAATTACCTTTGGCGATGGTTAGTAGTTTTCTTTAATATATATATTGAACTTCTTATATTGAAATTATTTAGACAATTTCTTAAATTAATTTTACAATGTTCTTTCAGGTAGTCCGATAACTCATGTTATTGAAACGGTTGATTTTATGGATATAGAGAAGTGCACATATCACTATTCCATAATCGGAGGCGATCCTACTCTTATAGATACAAGTGTAGTTGAGAAAATGTCTTTCCAGCTTAGGTTTGAACAAACTCCTAATGGTGGAACCTGTGCTAAACGGAGCGCCAAGGGCTATACGATCGATGGTGCTGAAGTAAACGAAGAGGAAGTTAGGGCTGGTCTAGAAAAGACTACTCAACTCTTTTATGGAATTTTCAAGATTTTTGAAGCTTATGCTTTAGCAAATCCTGATGCATAATTAATATATATGTACGCCTATTTTGTTTCAATAAGCCAAGTGCATTTTAATAAATAAATAAATTTGGTTTTTCCTTTTTTAGTTCTTCATGCCTTTTAAATTTGCTTATACAAATTAATTTTGCTGTTGCATGGTTCTCCCTGCTATTTGCTTTTGATTTGTTCAAATCATACATGGAAAACCTGTTGATAGAAGTGCCCTTTTTTTTATTTTTTTTAGGACACGTTAATTATTTTAGGTACAACAAACACAGAAAATTATATTAGGGAAGATTGACCGGCCATAAAAATTAACAGTAACCATTAGCTTAAAAGAGGAAGAGGCTTTTAATTATTGAATTGTTTTTAGTCACATCTTAATATTCTCTAAAGAAAAATTATTGAACCCCTTTTAAATTAATACTCTTTATGTTTTCTTTGTGCAAAGAAAACTGAATTTGCATAAAGATTAATAAGTTAGTTTAATTAAATACTTTGTCCATTTCATTTTTAATTTGTTTCTAAAACACTATTAAATCCTCTCTTATTTTTTATGTCAGCCAACTCATGTTTTAATACTCTCCATAGCGCATTTAATGACAGTAATTTCATTTAAAGATGGTGCATTTCAAAAATATTCCATGACTATATTATACTTTTATATACAAAATTTTACTAGGGTTCATGCTCATATAGATTCAAGTGCATTTATTATTAATTATCATGTACTAAACAATTGTGTGAAAATATAAATCAATATGTGTCGCAATCAAAAGTCAAGCTCATAATTAAAAACTATGGTGAGAAAATAGTCACACTATGTGTCGCCAATCAAAAGTCAAGCTGCATAATTAAAAAAAACTATGCGTGAGCAAAATAGTCAACAATTAATTATACTCTGACCCATGATTTGTTTGCCATTATCTCTTTTATCTCATAAAATTTAATATAGATAATAAAGTTAGATTAAGGGTATTATAGACTTTTTTCCTTTGACATTCGTTCCAAAATTTCCAAATAAATTAAATTTCTCTATTAAAAAAATCATAATTAGAAACTTTTTATTTGTCTCTAAAACACTATTAAATCCTCTCTTATTTTTTATGCCAGCCAACTCATGTTTTAATACTCTCCATAGCGCATTTAATGACAGTAACAGTAATTTCATTTAAAGATGGTGCATTTCAAAAATATTCCATGACCATATTATACTTTTATATACAAAATTTTACTAGGGTTCATGCTCATATAGATTCAAGTGCATATATTATTAATTATCATGTACTAAACAATTGTGTGAAAATATAAATCAATATGTGTCGCAATCAAAAGTCAAGCTCATAGTTAAAAACTATGGTGAGAAAATAGTCAATTAATTATACTTTGATCCATGATTTGTCGGCCATTATCTCTTTTATCTCATAAAATTTAATATAGATAATAAAGTTAGATTAAGGGTATTATAGACTTTTTTTCCTCTGACATTCGTTCCAAAATTTAAAATTTCCAAATAAATATTAAATTTCTCTTATTAAAAGATCATACTTAGAAACTTTTTAGTTTGTCTCTAAAAACCTATTTTAAAATCCTCTCTTATTTTTTTATGGGCAGCCAACTCCATGTTAATACTCGTCGATAGCGTAATTTTAATGATTCAGTAATTTTCATTTTAAAGATGGTGCCATTTCTAAAAATTCCATGACCATATTATACTCTTTATATACCGAAAATTTTACTAGGGTTACAAATGCTATATGATTATCAAGTCAACAATATATTTTAGTTATCATGTTACTAATACAATTGTGTTGGAAAATAAAATCAATATGTGGTCGCAATTCAAAAGTCAAGCTCAGTTAAGTTAAAACTATGGTGAGAAAATGTAGTCATTAATTTATTTGTGACCCATGATTTTGGTCCTGCACATTTATCTCTTTATCTTCATAAAATTTAATTATAGATAATAAAGTTAGATTAAGGGTATTTATTAGACTTTTTTCCTAGATTAAGGGTATTATAGACTTTTTTCCTCTGACATTCGTTCCAAAATTTCCAAATAAATTAAATTTCTCTATTAAAAAAATCATAATTAGAAACTTTTTATTTGTCTCTAAAACACTATTAAATCCTCTCTTATTTTTTATGTCAGCCAACTCATGTTTTAATACTCTCAATAGCGCATTTAATGACAATAATTTCATTTAAAAATGGTACATTTCAAAAAAATTCCATGACCATATTATACTTTTATATACAAAATTTTACTAGGGTTCATGCTCATATGATTCAAGTCCATATATTATTAATTATCATTTACTAAACATTTGTGTGAAAATATAAATCAATATGTGTCGCAATCAAAAGTCAAGCTCGTAATTAAAACTATGGTGAGAAAATAGTCAATTAATTATATTTGACCCATGATTTGTCTGCCATTATCTCTTTGATCTCATAAAATTTAATATAGATAATAAAGTTAGATTAAGGGTATTATAGCCTTTTTTTTCCTTTGACATTCGTTCCAAAATTTCCAAATAAATTAAATTTCTCTATTAAAAAAATCATAATTAGAAACTTTTTATTTGTCTATTAAAAAAATCATAATTAGAAACTTTTTATTTGTCTCTAAAACACTATTAAATCCTCTCTTATTTTTTATGTCAGCCAACTCATGTTTTAATACTCTCCATAGCGCATTTAATGACAGTAATTTCATTTAAAGATGGTGCATTTCTAAAAAATTCCATGACCATATTATACTTTTATATATAAAATTTTACTAGGGTTCATGCTCATATGATTCAAGTGCATATATTATTAATTATCATGTACTAAACAATTGTGTGAAAATATAAATCAATATGTGTCGCAATCCAAAGTCAAGCTCGTAATTAAAAATTATGGTGAGAAAATAGTCAATTAATTATACTCTGACCCATGATTTGTCTGCCATTATCTCTTTTATCTCATAAAATTTAATATAGATAATAAAGTTAGATTAAGGGTATTATAGACTTTTTTGGATTAGCGGAGAATCTATGAGGATATGTGTGATTTTCGCTATCTGCATTCTAGGCGGATTCCAAAAATTCATCTCACAAATAAAATTAAAATTTCTCTATTAAAAATCATTAGATTTAGAAAACCTTTAGTTATTAATCTCGCTGGTGTCTCATAAAAACACGTATTACAATCCTCTCTTGTATGGTTTTATGGCAGCAACTATGTTTATTTAGGTACTCTCGATAGGCGGTATTTAATGAATAGTAATTGCTAGTTTGCTATCTCCCAGGACATGGCATGTCGTGTAGTAGAGTGGTACGGGGTACTGAGGGTCAAGACTCGGGCGCTGGGGAGGCGCGGGGCATCGGATAGTCAGCATACGATAGGCAGAGGTGGTGGATGAGACGCGGTGGAGAAATAACTGCAAGCGCGGAGTCGTGAGGCAGACGACGAGTGTGCGACAGTGACAGTTGGTGCTTCACTCTCTTTAAGATGGCGTGCATCTTCTAAAAATTCACATGATCCAATAATTATGGCTTTTATATACAAAATTTGTGATATTAGGAGTTCATTGCTCATATGATTCAGTCCATATATTATTAATTATCCATGTACTAAACAATTGTGTGAAATATATAAACAATAATGTGTCCGGCAATCAAAGTATCAAGCTCCGTAAATTAAAAACTATGGATTCAAGTCCATATATTATTAATTATCATGTACTAAACAATTGTGTGAAAATATAAATCAATATGTGTCGCAATCAAAAGTCAAGCTCGTAATTAAAAACTATGGTGAGAAAATAGTCAATTAATTATACTATGACCCATGATTTGTCTGCTATTATCTCTTTTATCTCATAAAATTTAATATAGATAATAAAGTTAGATTAAGGGTATTATAGACTTTTTTCCTTTGACATTCGTTCCAAAATTTCCAAATAAATTAAATTTCTCTATTAAAAAAATCATAATTAGAAACTTTTTATTTGTCTCTAAAACACTATTAAATCCTCTCTTATTTTTTATGTCAGCCATTTCATGTTTTAATACTCTCAATAGCGCATTTAATGACAGTAATTTCATTTAAAAATGGTGCATTTCTAAAAAATTTCATGACCATATTATTCTTTTATATACAAAATTTCATGACCATAGTATACTTTTATATGCAAAATTTTACTAAGGTTCGTGCTAATTTGATTCAAGTGATATATCATTAATTATCATGTACTAAACAATTGTGTGAAAATATAAATCAATATGTGTCGCAATTAAAAGTCAAACATATATTTAAAAACTATGGTGAGAAAATAGTCAATTAATTATACTCTAACCCATGATTTGTCTGCCATTATCTCTTTTATCTCATAAAGTTTAACATAAATAATAAAGTTAGATTAAGGGTATCATTTGCACTTAAGCGAAATGAAAAAAAAAAAATCTCTCCTTCCCGATTCCGCTGACGCAGCTCCTCCCCCTCATGTGTTTTCCGTTCACCGTCTTTAACCGCCAAACAAATCACCTCTCCTTGCTAACAACTCCACTGGCCACCAGTTTCTTCCATTCCGCCTCTTGTTCTAGCATTGCAAGCGAGAGAGGGAGCCTCAATCGGGACAGTAGCGCAACCAGTCCTGCTCCTCCATTTTTTCGGCAACAATTTCCTTAGCCGGCATTTGTGATTTGATCTTCTCACCTGCAGTTTCTTCGACCACCATTGCCTTCACTTTCGATCGAACTAGCAGCAGCAGTAACCAGTTTAGAGTATAGGTCTAGTTGCCTATTGTTCTTCCCGAAAATTTTGATTTCCGACGCAGATTGTCTACTGGTAATGTGACGCTGCTGACCTTATTTCCATGAATTGATGAGAATAAAAAGCAGCAGGGGAAAGGCGATAGCTTGGCTTGGATGTCTGTGTGTTCTGCTACGAAGGACATCAAACATCAATAAGACGATAAATGATTTTTTACAATCAATTTCAGGATTTTCTCCATAATCAAGATCTATAAAATTGTAAGTCTTGCGTTTGTCGCATGTGAGCTGTCTTGCGTTTTTGCATGAGTGACTTTTCTCTATTGAAATTATGGCCAGTTTTCTA